CTCTCTCTCTCTCTCTCTCTCTCTCTCTCTCTCTCTCTCTCTCTCTCCAGCTTAAAGTGACCTTAACAGTGAAGTTGGAAACCCACAACTTGCCTGGGATGGTAAAAATCATTTCCTTAGTGAATTTTTTTTAACCCCCAGAAAGACTCAGAATCTAATATAAAGATGAAATAAGTCAAATACTATTACTGTTAATTTTCAGTTACATTTAGGAATAATCTATATTTAACACCCAGTGCCTACAGTATGTAAAATAATCTGCCATATTAAAGGACATGATAGGACACCTGGGTGGCTCACTCGGCTAAGTGTCCGACTCTGGATCTCAACTCAGGTCTTGATCTCAGGGTTGTGAGTTCAAGCCCCGTGCCGGGTTCCATGCTGGACATGCAGCCTAATTAAAAATAAAGAAAGAACATGATAGATTTGTTCACTGATTCCTGTTTAAAGTGTATAATTGGTCTATAACTGGTCTTAACCTTGGGATTTTTTGGTTGAAAAATGTTGTTTATAAGGTTATAAATAATGCTGTTTATGGGATGCCTGAGTGGCTCAGTCTGTTAAGCGTCTGACTCTTGATTTCAGCTCAGGTCATGATCTCACAATCATGAGATCAAGCCTCACATGGCTTAAAGATTCTCTTTCCCTCTCCCCCGTCCCTCCCCCACAGGCATGTGCATGCTCCCTGAGAGAAAGAGAGAGAGAGAGAGAGAGAGGAAGGAAGGAAGGGAGGGAGGGAGGGAGGGAGGGAGGGAGGGAGGGAAGGAAGGAGGGAGAGAGGAAGGGCAAGTGAGCTGTGATAAGCTAAAACATAAATACAGGAAATCACAAGTTATCAGGTTTATTGAAGTTATGTATGTAAAAACTTGGGAATGTTTCACTTGTCGGGTCAGGCAAATTAAACTGATTAAAAGATAGCTTAAAACTGGAACCCAAACATCCATCAACTTGTAAATTGATAACCAAATTGTGCTATATTCACAATATGGATACTACTCAGCCAATTAAAAAAAAAAATTGATACAGATAGATGAACCTCAAAAACATTATGCTAAGCAAAGAAGTCAAACACAAAAGACTACATATTACCCGAGTGACAGAAAGCAGATCTGTGGCTGCCTGGGGCCAGATCAAGAGGGGACTGACTGTTACAGAGCATAAGGAAATTTTGTAGCTGATGGACCTTGATTATGGTGGAGGTTACATAACTATACAGTCAGCAAAATTAATCAAACACTTAAAGTGACTGAATTCTATTGTATTACACTTCACTAAAGGTACAAACAAAAAAAAAATACTGATCTGAAATTTGAAAATAAAATTTTAAACTAATTTTCAACCCCAAGGAGCCAAAAATTATCTTTTTTCTGCATGCATATTGCCACCAACGGCAATATAAACAGAAAATTTCCTCACCTATCATGAGATATGGGTCATTATTTTATTTTTTCTATTATTTCCAAGTTTCCTCCAGTATACCATTACTCATACAATTTTTAATTTGTAAACATTTTAAAGGTCTAAAACACCACAGAAAGCCACTGATCTCGAAACTGAACTGCTTACTACGGTGTCTCCATTTCACCCTCCCAACTAAATCTAGACAGTCCCTCAAAGTGAGCAGTACAAGATACTCCTTAAGAGCAGTAGGTCAGCGGGCAGGCAGGGAGAGCGTAACTCAAAAAGCGAAGCACCGAGGGGCGCCTGGGTGGCTCAGTCTGTTAAGTGTCTGCCTTAGGCTCAGGACATGATCTCACAGTTCCTGGGTTCGAGCCCTACATCGGGCTCTCTGCTGCCCGCACAGAGCCCGCTTCGGATCCTCTGTCCCCTTCCCTGTCTGCCCCTCCTCCGCTTGCGCACATGCTCTTTCTCTCAAAAATAAATAATTAAAACTTAAAAAAAAAAAAAAAAAAAGGCAAAGCACTCAAAATTCCTAAATATAAGAGGGTTACCTTTCTGAAATTTCTCTTTGGCTAACTAAGCTGATAACAACAGAGACTACAGAGACAGAAGTCAGAAATTAAGATGTGCAGCTACTGTGGAAACAAAGAGGAAACAGGAGCTCCTGTGTGGCTCAGTTGGTTAAGCATCTGATTCTTGATTTGGCTCAGGTCATGATCTCACAGTTTGTGAGATCGAGCCCTACATGAGGCTCCAAGCTGAGCATGAAGCCTGCTTGGGATTCTTTCTCTCTCCCTCTCTCTCTGCCCCTGGCCTGCTTGTGCTCTCTCAAAATAAACACATAAACGTAAAAAAAAAAAAAAAAAAATAACATTAAAAAATACATGCAAACCATTTTAAAAATAAAATTAAAATAATAATTTAAAAAAAGAATAACACTGAGGAATTGGGTATACTAAAGAAAGAAAGCAATTTATTCCTTTAATTTAAAAAGCTAACCATGTCAATATCGTGAGCTACATATCGGCTCAACTTCAAAGTATTTTCAGATACAGTAAACAATAACAAGCTATCTCTATAAGAAGCTATCTTATCTGCATATTATACAGACAAAAATCCTAAATATGCCTTCAAATTTCAGAGGCTGATAATACAGCTTGCCTAATGTACCCTGCTCTTGCCCTACTCTCTCTCTCCACACCATCCACCCAGGGAACTCCAAACTCCTATTTGCCATTCCAGGTCTGGGACTGTCCCTTGAATCAAGCATCAACCATCACAATATTCAATCCTGCTAACTATTAACAAAAGGCAAGTGGTTTGCTAATAAGCTAGTTTCCAAAAATGTCCACCAAAAAAGATAGACAACCGGCAACCGTTAATAGTTACAGACCAAAACATAAAAGACATCAAGTTTTCACCTGCAGTATCAAAAAGTCCAAGAGTATATGGCTCTCCACCAATCATAACTGTGACTGCATAGTTGTCAAAAACCTAAAAACACAAAAATACAACATTGTTAGTATGCAAGAGGATGGTCAAAACGGGACAGGGCAACTCCTAAGTAAAGGCAGTATTTCCTTCCTGAGACTTCCCCTTCTCTTAGTCTATACGATTCTTAGGTAACCAATCTTGCCAACCAAACCCTTGCACGAACTAAACGGTTCTTGGAAAAAGTGACGGGGTGTACTCTGGGATGTCTACTCTACCCCAGTAGCCTGGATTAAAAGTCACAGGAAGGCCAGAGGTGTCATAAAAACAGAGTCCTCTAGCTATACAAAACGATCCTGTTCAATGTGCAATTTTGAGACAGTAAGTTTAGAGTTTACCTTAATGTTTACTCTGATTTCTAAGAAATTAATTCTTATAGACTATTTCATTTTGATCTAGAATTTAAATATCCTAGATCCATGATAATCTTTTTTCCTCTCAGGGTTTAAGACAAGAAGCACGTTGTTGTAAATAAGCCCATTAGAGAGAAATAAAGGTTCCCTCAAGGTCAAGGAAAATGTCCAAGAAAGGGCTAGCAGATTATTTGTTGAGACTTCATGAATAAAACTTATGTTACTGGGTACAAACCACATGACCTAAGAGATCTTCTGTGACTAGATGTTTTTATTTGCAAACAGACTGTACAACCCATGACAAACTCCGTATATACTAATATTGGTTGTACTAAATTATCTGTGAAAATGGGAGGTAATAGTGACAAATGGGAAAAGACCCAACACTAATTCATGGATTCCTCTGAATTGACAAATGAAAATCAATTTTTCCAACTAGAAGGATGTTACATTTTCAGATCACCCCTTCTTTTCTAACTCTTAACTTTCCAGTTCATGTTTTAATGGATTGTTGAAATGTAAAAAGGAGTGGAAGCAAGGGCATAGGGGAGGTGGTAGTTAAAGGAAAGTTGGTTCTTGATAACAAGAACTAGGAAATATAATGAATGTGGTTAAGCTCTCCAACAACACAGGTTATTTTTCTTAAGTCATACCTAACTCTCTTCCAGAGATCCAGAAACACATATATATGAAAGCCCCTCTTAAATAGAACACTTCATGACCAAAGTCATAACAGACTCAGAAACTGTGTTTACAAGAAAATAACTTTAATGGACACTGAAACACCAAAATTCTGATAGCTGCCCTCATTCTGAAACAAGAGGTATGTATCTCTAAAGTCCCCTAAAAGTCTCCCTCAATCTCAGAATTTCTTTTACTTACCATGTCCCCAAATGGGCCAACCCCAAAGTATGATTTTTGTATTTAATTATACCTTCAAATTCTCCCATTCCAAGAAACCTAACATTTCTTCCTACAGCCTTGACCTACCTCAATCATTGTGTCTACCTCGGGACATTACAGATTGTTAATTCTATTAAACATAATTACCAAAACTTTAACCTGTATTCATTCACCCTCTTAACAATGCTCATGTCTCTCAAGATTAACCTGAAGTATTCAGACATTTTCTTCCCTTTTACTTCCAAACAAATCCCGTATTAATCATGCATAGGTTCTTTATAACCCCTAAAATAGCTCACTTAACAGAGGTGGTCACTGCCAAGCCAGGCCAACCCTCGCTCACCCCCACCACTGAAGGAAAATCTGTGTTTAACATAATTATACCACTGGGTTGGGTCACCCAACCTGGGACAAACACTGGATCCTCAACACATTCTTTCACAAGTATTACTCTAACTCTTCTCTCTCACGTCATGATCTTTATTATTCCCATTTTCCCTCTACTCTTCTAAGGAGCTGATAAAAAACATTTGTGGGAGAGGACCCCAAAGGCTTCTGTTAATGTCCTCATAACCAAAACAGTTCTCTGCCCTTAAATACCAGTTTGCAGCTCCATTATTGCTAAGCCAACAGCTCCGTGAGATTCTCTTCTGTCCTCTAAGGAGAGTAAGTGGAGACACATACTACTTTCTCTGAAGTTACAAGACCCCAAAAAGCATCCCAGAAGACCTCCAAGCACTGACTACTCATTGGCCAAGTTATCAAAAAGAAAGTCACTTCATTCCAAGATACAGAGCATACTTCCCCAAACTGAGACCACCGCTCTTTAGAATCTTGTCTATTGGAGTTTTGCCTCCCAGAACTTCTTGCACACCCCTGTGTCACCTTTTCAGCATTTTCACTGATTTTTTCAGCTATTAATTTTAAAGTGTATATAACATACCCATCAGAAGATCTTTAAAAACAGGACACAAAGGCAGACAACAGAGAAATCTTGAGTACACACACAGTTTTCAAAAGATATCAAAAGGGAACGTATTTCACCAACAGATGATGGAAGCCTTTATACTTACAGTCGGTACATACTCCGATGGAAATTTATTTGTTGTGTAGGATATCAGGAGACAGGTTTTACCAACGGCACCATCTCCCACAACAACACACTTAATTGTCTGCATTGCTGAAACAGTTTCGTATCCACTTTAAATATTTCAAATTCAATGATGACCTACAAAAAAGAAGAAAAATATTTGTTTCATTTGTAGTTGTGTATTTTTTTTTCTTCAACTAGCAACAGGTTTGCTCATTCGGAGCAAGAACAGAACCAGCACCCCAACTGCTACGGCCGAAAGAGCCTAAAAAGAGAAACAGTGACTAGCTCAAAATCACAGTAATAAGTAAGAGTCAAATTTCTAAGTCTCTGATCCCTTTGTTTTCCATATAAGTGGGTTTTTTTTTAAATCCAAAGTAGTGTAAAGAGTAGCATATTTATTTCTATAATGAAAGAGAAGAGGCTATTTCAGAATGAGTCCCACGTAGAGTGTGCCAACAAGTGTGATTGTGTGAAATTTTTCCTTCAGTTGTATGTGCACACAAATGCACGTACATGTGTGTGCATAAACATGATATGTGCCAGACTGCAATAGGAAATCACTGCTTTAAAGAATGGTCCGTTTATCCAACCTTAAAGCTGTAACCAACAAGCTATAGAGTATCACCACCAACCCCTTGTAAAAGAAGAGCAGAACGAGGAACTGAACAAAGATCAGGATGATCCCCGGTCTCAGCACGTATTTTAACACCAGGTGGCCTAGTTACTAATTCAATATTCATGGCATGAAGAGGCCAAAACCTACACTTTTATAATGAAGAGTCCGATCACTCTACAGAATACTGACTTATAAACAGATATAATTACTTTAGCTTCTCTTACTGTAGTCCTTTCTAAGAAGCTATCGATTACAAAAGTACCAAAGATTTATATTTCATCAATTCCAAGATGCTTGTTTTCACATTTAAACATCTCTAAAATCAGAACATGTCTTTACTGAAAGTTTCTTAAAATCACTGCCGGTCATTTTTTCCCCCCACATTTTGACATCTAAGAAATTAGGATAAATGACATCTTAGAGTCAATGAAAACTTCTAAGTCTTTCTGGGAGAATAAAAAAGAAACTTCATGCCCTGTATACCTACATTTTAAGACAAAGTCCTATTTCAATTATAATCCTGAAGGGGATGCAATTTCTTGTTGGCTAGAGGTGCCACCTTACTAAACACAAAAACGTCAGAACCATCTAACTCTGGGTTGGATGCCATGCCTATGCAGTAAGCATCACAACTCTTGATCATGAGTTACAAATGCCTGTTAACATCTCTGTATACAAGGAGTAACTTAAAGGAAATATACACTCTCCCATTCCTCATCAAAATCTTCCTGATTATATTTATCTTTATTTAACCTCCTTTTATCTTGTTCCTTCTCTTTTCCCTATAATGCACTAAAGCGGTCATACTAGTACAGCATTACTAAAGATCTTAATCCCTAAACTAAATCAAGATTTATCAAAATAATCAAGCACATGGGAGTACTAATTACAGAGAATTACTCCTAAAGAATGTCTTTTACATAAAGCAGAGGAAATAGAAACAGCTATCATCTTATGGTTCCTGAATCCACCTCTGAAAAAAAGAATAATGTTCTGCTAAAAAAATAAGGTCTTCTGTAGAATTTCTTTTCCATTGACAATGAAGGAAAGGTAAGCAGAGAGTTCTGTTCACTCTACAGACTATTTTCCAGGTGCCTACAAATATATTTCAAGTTCAGTTCTCAAATACCTTCTATTTCTCTTGACCATTATTACTGGGTGATCTTTTTTTTTGAGAGAGAGAGAGAGAGAGAGAGAGAGAGAGAGTGAGTGTGTGTTTGCATGCATGCACAAGCAGGGGGAAGGACAGAAAAGACAGGGAGACTCCCAAGCAGGCTCCATGCTCAATGTGGGGCTGGATCCCAAGACCTGAGCAGAAATCAGATGCTCAACCACTAGGCCACCCAGGTGCCCTCAGGAGATTTTTTTTTTTTAATGTAGAGTTTAATCATAAACACTGGCAGAAAGTAATATTTGACCACTGTGGCAGAGACTTCTAGTGGTCTGCCAATTCTTCCTTTCTTCTTTAGTAATAGAATTTTTAATTAAGCACATGGTCTCCAGTAAAAAGACTACACTTCCTCCATTCCTCTGCAGCTCGAAGTGACCACTGTGATTAATGGGAGTGGAAATGACTGATGGATGCAACTTTCGAGACTAGCCCTAATACCAAGGGGCACAGTCTCCCTGTTGCAGCCTGCAGGCTAGAATGCAGACATGATAATGACGGCTGAAGCAGCCACCACGGAACCACAAGACACAACTGAGATGTTAAGGATGAGTAACAAAATAGGAAGGGTCAGCCCTGGATTGCCTCCAGGACTTTTACACAAGAAAGGAAGAAACTTCTCTTTCATTAAGTCCCTAGTATTCTGAATTTCTCTGTGACAGCAGCAGAACCGATATCCTAATTACTATGTTTCACAGACTCTAAGAAGCCAATGATTTTTAAGTACATCCTAAATTTAGAGGCGTTAAATGTGGGAGAAAATGTCTCAGAATCACTAATTTAGTAATATCTAGATTTATCAAGGAACTTTACAGTAAAGCTGACCACTTTTGAGACTTTGTCTCAAAAACATCTAAGAAAACTGCGGTTTTCTTAGTAAATTTTAATTTTAATTGTGGTTGAAATCAAATGAATTGTCATCCCTAAATATGAAGCTCCTCATCTTCATTCAATAGCTGGCATTCTCTTTTAAGACTTAAAACCCATACTAACAAGCAAATACAAAATCAACAGGCCATTTATAAGCTTGAAACTTCTAGTGGAAGTTTCTTGAAGTTTTCATTAAGATTCCCTAGGGAGGGGCACTCAGCTGAGCATCATTATCTCAGTTCATGAGTCTGAGCCCCACCATCGGGGTCGCTGGTGTCCGCGCAGAGCCCGCTTTGGACCTCGATCTCCCTTCTCTCTCTCTCTGCCCCTCCCCAACTTGCGCACACCCCCCCCCCAAAAATATACATACTTACATATATACATACATAAATTTCCCAGGGAATAAGAAAGAAGAAAGTGAGAACAAGAAGTTCCCATGATTAGAGCCATGAATATGACTGCCACATGAGCTAAATCACAACTATCACAAGCTGCGACGGAGAAGGTCGCAGCTGGTCTAAAACATTCCAAAGGAAAGAAGAGCTTTCATTAGTAACTGTATTTAAAAAGAACTTAAATCTGATCTGCACTGAATTGCTTTTTTGTATTATATTAACTATTTTCACAGCAGCCCATCACAAATAGATTACACAATAAATTGGTTCTTTCTATGGCAACCTATTAAATGCAGCACCTTTCTCTGATACCAGCAAGAATAAGAAAATGTTAAAAATGAGTTCATGATGGCCACCAGAAAACTTTCAACTGTAAAGTAAAACATATGAATACAACACAATTTGTAGTACAAGAAATCTACAATGTAAGTATAGGAACAAAGGTAGCAATATTTCAAACAGGCTCATAAATCTCTCTGCATTAAGCACAAATTCATGAAAACTAATAACAAATTTTTTTTTTGAAGTTTACTTTGAGAGAGACAGCACACACAGGAGAGGGAGGGGAAGAGAGAGGAGAAAGAGAGAATGCCAAGCAGGGTCCACACTGCCAACATGGAGGCTTGAACTCAAGGAACCATGAGATCATGCATGACCTGAGCTGAAACCAAGAGTTGGATGGATGCTTAACCAACTAAGTCACCCAGGTGCCCCTAAATGACAAATTTTCTGAGGGTGATCTTTAAGATTTTCCAATGGAAGGTAATGGATCCATATAACAGAGATGTGCTCTGCACAGAGTTTGGCTCAATCATTAAACAAACAGTACTACTTTGAGAACTTTTAGAAGTGTGTATCTTTTCCTGTCCCAGCAGGAGAAACAGGCAAGCCAGCTGGGACCTTCTTTGTGTGTCCTGCCTAAAAAGCTAGAAGGAATATCCAAAATACATAAACTATAAATAACTATAAACTATACACTATATATATATATATATATACTATAAACTATTTTTATAAACTATATAATACATAAACACATAAATAATAATAATATTCTTAACTTTGAAGTCACGAAAACCCTGGGTTTTAATCTCTGCTCTGCACTTACTAGTGACCTGGGCAAGGTTCTTAATCTCTTTTGACTCAATGTTCTCATTTGTAAAACAGAACTCATTATGTCAACACCTTGCACAGTTGTTATGCAGATTAAAGAACATAAAAGGACCTTACAGCACATACTCAATATACATGAGTTCATCTACCAAGTGTGCTGGTTAAATCAATCCTACTTCACACCTATTTTCATCCAGTGGGTCAAAAATTACACTATACTTTCTTCTCTCTTTAGCAATTACCTAATGAAAACTCTTCACACTTTGCACACAGCAGGTACACCAAAAAACAGGTTAAAATGAACTGAATATACTTGCTACTTAGCTAATGACACACACAAAAATTAAATGAGAAATCCACCCAAATGTTTCTTATTCACCTGAAGACTTCTGTATTATTTGTCTGTATTTCCTGTATCTTATTTCTATATTTTACAGAGTGGTTCCTAAAAATCAAGTTCTTTAACAGGTATTAACAAAATTAGTTAGGTATAAGAACAGACCTGATCACTATTGTGAATTGCCGAATAAAAAAAATTTTTTTTTTTTTAGTTTACAAACCATCACTGTGTACATGTTTGAATTTAGTCTCTAAACTAGCAATTCCAAAATTAGCAGACCACCAGAATTACCTGGAATGGATTAACAATTCAGATTCTCGGACCCTCACTCCACATCTAATAACTCAGAACTCAATACTCCCTATGTAATTCCAATGTACAATGAAGTTTGAGAACTACTATCTTATATGATAGCAAGATGAGGAATACCAGTAACACAAGAATCTAAGCTAAGATAAACATCACTGGCATTTTAGGTCACCTAGAAGTGAATTTCTTAAAGTAGAACAAGGACGCCTAGGTGGCTCAGTCGCTTAAGCATCTGACATCAGCTTAGGTCAGATCATGATCTCATGGTTTGTGAGTTCGAGCCCCGCATCGGGATCTGTGCTGACAGGTCAGAGCCTGGAGCCT